ATGTAATTTATGTAAAATAGTAATATACTGATATAAACATAACACATTATACTGATAATAAATATAATATTAATAATTATATTATATTATTATTATACTCTAAATATACTAATAGTAACTAATAATATAAATTAATAATAATGATAATTTTAGACCAAATTAAAATGTAATTTATATTAATAATATACTGATATTATATTATATTATACTCTAAATATACTACTAGTAATGATAATCATAATGATAATCTTTTTTTCAGTGATTTGAGAATTATGAGGTATCTCTTTAAGATCTTAACAGGTTAGTGTGCTAAATCACTACATTAAATTGTTCTAGAGTTGTGATGATTGTGAACATCTGGACTACATACGTCACTGCAGCAATTAAACAGTCTCGTTCTGCCCCCTTCTGGACATAAGCTGTAATATTTTGAGTTCGACAAAGTTTTATATCATAGGTTCCCAACTCCGTTCCTTGAGGTCCTACTTTAGTACACATTTTGGATGCCTACTTAATGAGATACACCTGATTCAATTCTTCAGCTTGTCAGCAGAGACTTCAAGGCCGGAAATGGATTGGTCAGGTAAGAGAGATATTTGAAATGTGCAGTGTATTTGGCATCAGGGATTTTATGTGCTTCTGATATTTACATTTTATTTGTGATATTGTGGTACTTTAGTGTTTATTAGTACAAATAAACCGATATAGGCTGTAATTAGGCATACTAAAAGAAAAATTAACTATCACTTCGACTGAAAACCTATAACAAGATTTTTTTTTTTTTTTTTTTCCATTTCATACGAGAGTACATTTCTTTCAAAATTTTCTTTAAAATAACTGCAGACATATCCTAGGATATCAATGAACAATGTAACGAAAATAATCAGCCAATCAATAATCAAATAATTGTACCAAAATTGACCACAAGGTGTCGCTATAGGAAATACATTTATTTATTTGCTGGCCGCATCCAAATCATCCGCAGCCCTATCACCTTGAACTCCACTGATTTCTGCTTGCCGCTGTATTTTTCATTATTTTATTCAGTTCCTTAATTAATGCACAAGATCAATAACACTCTCAGAATTGTATAACCTCTGTTCATTAGATTCTCAAAGGCATAAGAAAATATATTGATTATGTTTTAGAAATGATTTGGTGTGTATGTTCAGGTTTTGCCTACACTTTTATTTTTATGAAATACAAAAGTTTATTGAACATTTGACAAAATAAATAAATACCAGGCTTTAATGACTCATATAGTATAGAAATGGGAGAATATAGCTCATATACTTGAGGAGGACAAAAACACCTCAGTTTCGGTCCAAACTTGCAGTTGCTGATATTGACATGACATTGATATGACATTTATTTGGCCAAAAAGTAAAATTAAATTCTGATAGCTTATAATCAGTGGTGTAGGTAACGAATTACAACTACTCACGTTACTGTAATTAAGTAGTTTTTTCGGGTACTTGTACTTTTTTTAGTATATTTTTAAAGCTGTACTTGTACTTACACATTAAGCAAAATAATCTACTTCGTTACTTTTAAATCATAGTTCGTTACTGAGTACGCCCTCACTTTGAATTGCTATTCAAACCTTTGACGGCATATGGCAAGCCGTTTTAGCATTAAATACTCCTTGCTGTACTAGTCATAATTTAGTTTTGACTAGTCAAAATACCAATTCCAGATATCTATTCTGCAATTTTGACTCGTCGTAATTGGAATTAAGATATCTACAATGTGATTATGACTAGTCATTATATGCATTGAAGATATCTACAATGTTATTTTGACTAGTCATAATATACATTCGAGATATCTACAATGCTATTACGACTAGTCGTATTGTTCCATTGACTTCCATTGGAAAATATTTTCGGATATCTACAAAAGAGTTTTGACTAGACGATATCTCTAATTGATTTTGTGCTAGGCATAATTCTAATTAGAGATATCTCAAATTACAATTGAACTAGTGATAATTAAATTAGAGATATCTCTAACTGAATTAACACTAGTAAAAATTATAATTCGAGATATCTCTAACTGGTGTTTGACTAGTCATAATCATATTGCAGATATCTTTAATTCATGATTTCTTAAAGATGTCCAAAATACATTTGTAGATATCTGAAAGTTATTTATTACTAGTCAAATTACAGTTGTAGATATCTTGAATTGGAATTTTGACTAGGCAAAACTTAATAAGAGATATCTTGAATTGGAACTCTTCCTAGTCAAAACTCATTTAAAGATATCTGCAATTTAATTACGGATATCTCAGTCGATGTTTGACTAGGAAGATCTTTCTTTGGAGATATCTGCATTTAGCTTTTGACTAGGCAAAACTTAATAAGAGATATCTTGAATTGGAATTCTTCCTAGTCAAAACTCATTTAAAGATATCTGCAATTTAATTATGGATATCTCAATCAGATTTTTGACTAGGAAGATCTTTCTTTGGCGATATCTGCATTTAGCTTTGTGACTAGGAAGAATTTCAATGTAGATATCTGGAATTAACAATGTGACTAGTAAAAATTCCTTTATAGATATCTAAAATGTGCATGCAAATGCACTTTTGTTACGCCCCACCTTAAACATTTTATTAACCAATCCTAGCTTGGAAACTGTTGTCATCCGCCATTTTGTCTAAGAGTTGTATAATAAAGGTCCTGCGTCTTTGGGTCATTTTAAACTGTTTTATACAGAAGTAATTCAAAAGTATGGAAATAAAAATGTAGTTGGAGCATGTGTAAAAGTTATAGGCTATACAGAGAAGGACTCACATAGGCTTTTGTCCTATTCTATATCGTAATGTTGAGACGTGTGTGCTGTGGATTAAATTGTGTTAGCCTTTATTTACAAAGGAACACATGTAAAATCAGTGGCTAAGGACTTGTATAGGCCTCATGTCAGCTGTTGCAACATTTGATATAATGTTAAAAGAATACATTGGTGCTCATCATTGAAAACAGCAGAATATCATCATCATGGATCTCTTGCTATAATACAATACAATACTCCAAACTTGTGGGCTATTTCCTGTGGAAGCTCGTTTCCTCCACTAAATAAAGAAATAATTAATAAATAACAATGCGAGTTATAAACTTTATAACTCACAATTCTTTGCATTGTGTTTAGCTATATCTTGCAATTCTGAGAAAAAAAAGTCAGAATAGGTTGTTTGCACATGACGTCACTGATGACGTGCGAAATGCAGCTGGAGGACAGGAAGTGATTTTTCTCTGTAGGAATCACTAGCAGAAACTCAAAATGGCTGTGTTTTGCGTTGTTTATGGATGCTTAAATTGGCCAAACCGAGAAACCACAAGGAGCTTTTATCGTGTACAAAAATGTGTTGTTCATAAGTGGGGAAAAGTCAAGAAATTGATTGAAAAACGCAGGAAAAAGTGGCTTGTAAACCTGCGTCTGCGGTCGGGAGGAGCGAAGCTTGTGATAATAATGCTCGTGCGTGTAAATGATTAATATAAGATATAATAATATATGACGATATTAATAAAGAAATATATAAATAGATACAGGGTGACTATTCCATTGCGGAAACAAGCTGCCATAACGACACAAGTAAACCTGAATCCATACACAACCTAATAAATGTCATCAATGCCAGTTAAACTTTTATTAAATTGTAATCTTTTTTAAATCAGCCTTCACCTTTTTTGACTGCATCTGATTCTGAAGCATCGTTCTTGTCCATCATGCATTTGTACTTTTGTTCATGTTTTTGTTGTATAATTCCATTGTTCTTCATTATGTCTAAATATATAATAAATACATTCAGACGAGCAGTTTGCGGTTTTCTGCCTTTATTTAACATTACACGGCATTTGGTCCGTTTTGCAACATGATTCAATTAAAATCACAGCGCTATACATACATGCACGCTGGAGAACTTTTACCACATATGGCTGCATCCAGATATTATTTAATAATAATAATAATAATTTAATTATTAGTAATTTATCCAGTAGCTTTCTCTCCGTGACAACAAAAGCAGGCCACTGTTGTTAGCAGTTAGCACTAAACATTAGTCGGGGAGGG